CCTGCTTTTAGAGACCTCTATCCTGTCCCCGCTCCATCTCCTCTTCTCTAAGCTGAACAGTCCCAGTCTCTGTAGCCTCTCCATCTGGGACCTGTTCCCCACCCCTGATCATTGTAGTTGCCCTCCCCTCTCCCAGCCTTTCTCTTCCCCTCTCCCACCTCCTTTTCCCAGTCTCTCCCAGTTTTGTTCAATAAAGACAGAGTCAATGTTGGAAGAAACGTTATCTTTATTTTGCACATCAGGAAGGGGGGCTAGGGAAGGGTAAGTGGAAGGAGGTGAGGGAAGAATGGGGCACGAGCCCCCGATGGGGAGGACTGGGCTGGGTCTGCGGGCTTCTGGGGGTGGAAGCTCTCCTGCAGCCCCCCAATTGCCCCCTCTCCCCAGATGGCAGCCTGCGGCAAGTGCAGCCGGTCTGATGGCCGAGTGCTGTGATGTGCCCAGTGTGGGCATTCCGGGCACTCCAAGCCAGGACTGGTTTTCAAGCGGGGCACCTCTGAGAACTGTCTGTCCGGGGTGGGGGTCGGTTCCCTTTAAGCGCAGCCCTCGGCTAGCCTGAGACAGCATCTCCACGCTCTAAGTCCTCCTCTGATGCCCTGCAGGCACTGCTTCCGGCCATCCTTAAGCCCTGTTCAGGGTCCACTCAATGTGGACATGCTAATTTGAACTAGTTTTTAGTTCTAGACGCGTTAGTTCGAATTAGCTTAGTTCGAATTAACTACTTCGAAGTAAGTTAGTTTGAACTAACTCTGTAGTGTAGACATACCCACAGAGACTTTTAAAGTGTGAGACATTGCACAGAAAAGGGAATCCCATACAGCAGAAGAGACTGCTTTAAAGGAGGTGGGATTGAATCAATTTTGATTTTATGATTTAACATCTAATGCGACTACTTTGCAGGAGAGCAATAGGTTTCTAAGGCACAGAGCTAATTTGAAAGTAATGACAACTTTCATAATAAGGTAGAGTAGAGAGATTTGTAGATAATATCTATGACTGAAAAGGGTTTAAGTACCTTATGGGTAAGTCAGATAAAAGGAGAAAAATTAAGGCCTTAAAGGAGGCATAGTTCCCACATTGCCCAGGCCTTAAACTCTGTGACCTAAATAGGTTTTCCTGAGTACAAAGGCCCTATCCTGTTGGGAACTACAGAATGATGGGTAAAACAAGATCCCTTCATGCTAAAAATAATGGGGCACACCAAAACAAAAGTGTGTAACCCAGAAATGGAGCATCACAAACCCAAGCAACTGCTTATCCTATTCCTTTAACCCCCTTTCTCTAGTTCTACTAACACCATGTTCATTGCATTTTGTCTTAAATATTGGGCGTTGATCTTGCAAAAATTTAAACACGTGGAAAAAAACCAAAGGATAAAAATATTCTCATTTAACTCAATTAATAAAGTGCACAGATTTTTGCACATGCGTCACAATTGTGGCTTTAAATTGTAACTTCCTTATCTAGAATTCAGATCGACTAAATGAAACTTAGTCATGTCAGCCTGTGTTAACGGAAGAACACACCATCACACAATAGTGGATCATATAACTCAGCAGGTCCTAGAGGCTAGTGCAATTTGGGTGGGTAGTTAAAATGTAAGTCTATATTATCTTGTACCATAGACACATTTGGGAACAGCTGGAGTTAGCAACTTTGCACACTGGTAGAGAGGACCCATACCTGCCAATACTGGGAGAAGGTGAGGGAGGTAGAGAATGCAAAGTGAGGGCAACTGCCTTTTCACAGTGTTCTGTCCATGTGCACACACACAGTACACGCCAAGCAGCAAATCTGGAGAGTAACATGATCCCTCTACACAGTCTCTCAACACGCTGGATATTACCAAACTTGAAAGCAACTAAGAGTAAAGGGCCACGTTTTAAGAATGCAGACCTGGGGTGGGATGATGTATTTACAGTCTGTCTCTAGCGGGATGTCAGGTAGAGTAGTCACCCCACCAAGCACGGGAAGCTGGATTTTTATAACAGTCTTACAACTTTGTGGCACATATTTAAAATTAGGGATGTAAGCGACTAGAAATACGCATAAGTTAATGGGATAGTCAACTAGTCCCTCAACTAATCACTTCCCCTGCCCCACTGGCTCCATCTGAGGGAGGAAGAGGTACCAGAGGAGCAGGAGCCGGTGCTGTGGAGAGCCGGCTTAAAAGCTCCCAGCACCATCTCCTCAGGGGGCAGGGAAGGCAGAGGGGTAGCATGGACTGGGTGCGAGCCAGGAATCAGCCGATTCCCAGCTCGCGACCTGTCTCAGACACTGCAGCTCTGCTTTTTAAATGTATTAAGAGACGGCAGGCTCTTAATACATTTAAAAAGCAGAGCCGCAGTGGGGTTAGCTCGTGGGGCTGGGAGCTAAACCTCGCTGCAGCTTCCCGACTAATTGATTAGTTGATTCAACTACATTTAACATCCTTACTAAAAATTAAGTGTACCTTTGATCGGAGAGCCAGGTTCTCCTCCTCCAGTTCTCTGAGTTTGTCCTGCAAGACATCCAGTTGCAAAAGACCATGTGACAGATTAAAGGAGTCATTGAACCGGAGTGGTGTAGAGCAGCTGGAGTCTGTTTCACTTTCTTCAGAGGCAATTGAAACAATACGAAGCAACTCATCTTTCTTCGATAGTTCATGCTGCAGCTGGTTAACCTATATTTAAAAAGGTAGGTTTTGTAAATAAATTCACATTGCAAAGTATTATAGGATATTACATAGTTTCTGAATTCTTGGAGCAAATTTGTTCCAGTTTGAATTGAGGTAAAGACAATCCAAATATTGTGACTGGATTTTTATTTATTTTTATGCTGGAAATTTCAGGCTTTATCTAACTTTGAAGACTATGCTGCTACAGAGGTAGTGAAATTATGGTGTCATAGTAGACTGGAACTAAGACCTTATGTAAGACAAGCTATGGGAACATTACTACAATGAACGCCAATGTGATGAAAGCCAGAAGTTAGAGCCTGGCTGGGGACCCTGGAAGGAGCTCAGGGGGGCGAAGAGGAGAGGCAGGGGGCCATGCCTGTGCACTTTCAAAAAAGCGGGAGGGCCATGGCACTTTGGTTCCCCAGCCACCCCCTTTCCAGTGTCTCTGGGTCAGATTTTCAAAGTTAGCTGTGTACATCCTTGTGCTTCCAAGTTCTGGTACAAATACGTGATGTGAATACACAGACTAAGTCTTTGAACATATATATAGGCAGTTGTGTGTACATATTTGGTATCTGTATGCTGATCTGTTTGCAATTGTGACCATTTCACTGAAAAATCTGGCCATGAGAGGCACTGGTCATATCAACAAGGGGAAAGCGACTGTGATATAGTTAATAGGTCCTTTGCATGACCCAATGTCCTTTTGGTACCAACTGTCAGTGGACACAGCAGGTGCACAAGATTTTATAGGGATTCCATGGTTGAGGTATATGCATCATAGCTCACCAAAAGGTGGTATGCAAGATCACTACAGAAAGCCAGTAGCATTGGTCATCACAATAAAATATGAATGTTTAATATTTAATGAGTTATATATCTATACTGAAAATTATCTTAAGGCAGTGGTCTCCAACCTTTTTTCACCGAAGATCACTTTTTAAATGACAGACCAAGCCAAGATCTACTGTCCCACCCCTTCCTTGAAGCCCCTCCTTCTCTATTCTCCTCCTCTCCATCACTTGCTATCCCCAATCCTTATACTGCTGCTTATTTTTTTTTTATTCTTCTGTAGGAAGAGGTTTTTCCAACATTTGGCCTGTCTACACTGGACCAAATGTCAGAAAAAAAACACCCTTCTTTTGGAAGCCACCTTATTCCTTGTGGAAAGAGGAATATAGGGGTGACCAAAAGAGCCTGTTTGCTCTTCCACTAAAAAAGCGGAAGAATAAACGCAACCCTGGATGCAGAAGAGTTTTTCTGGGATATCTCCAGAATCCTGAAAAACTCCTGAAGTCTAGCTGGACCCTTGCTGGGTTGAGACAGGATGTGTAGGCTCTGGGGTGGGAATGAGGGATTTGGGTGTGGGAAGGGGTGAGAGGTGCAAGCTCTGGGAGAAAATCTGGATGCAGGAGGAGGTGGAGAAGGGGACGCTGGCTCGGGGAGGGGGCTCCAGACTGGGCAGTGTTGGGATACTAAGCAAGCCACAGGCTTATGGATGTAAGGGTGCAGGAATTTGGGTTGGGGTATGTGAGGGGCTGAGGGCATGAGGTTCCAGTGTTTGATAGGCTCAGATAGGGGGAGTGCAGGAGTGGTTGTGGCCAGATGGGGGTTTGTTGGCCAGGCTTCATTTTTAAATAGAATACTATGTTAAACACAAAAAGTTTCTGCATTGTCTTTATTTATGAGAATGGCAGGGAACCTGCCTTGAGTCAGGTGTCACTGACCCATAGAAAAGTCATTTGGGAGCAGGGGACACAGTACTGGGGAGGAGTGCTAGTGGGTTCTGGAGCAGGGAACAGGGTGCCAGTGGGGATTTTCCTAAGTGTCAACAGATGATTTCAGTGCACACACATGAACCAACAAAAGTATTTCCAGCCATTATCATTAAGCAAAGGAAGTTTCAGAACTTCTTAAGAGTTTGATGTAAGGCTACTCGCCTTGTATATTTTGACATATGCAATCAAATGATGAATTGTAAAGCAAGAATGGTATCTGTCAGATCTGAAGGGGAGTAACGATGCTGTCCAAGGCCAGTGGAGTGGGGAGCTGCCCCCAAGCCTCCTCATTTTAAGGGTTGGCAGCAATGAGATGCCTCACAGCCCTGGGTATCCCTGGCAAATGTCACACTTTGATAACAGTTTCATTCTTTGTTAGTTCCTCTGTCGAGATGGCAGCATTTGAGAGCCTCAGTGTTGTTCAAATCTATGTCTAGACTATGCTGAAGTTTCGAAAGGATATGCAAATACTCTGCATATCTTCTTCTGATCTCACTTTTGAAAGTGAAAGTAGTTGGGACATCGTTTTTTTGGCAACCCTCCCCTTTTTCGAAAAGCCGCTCTTCTAAAATGGAATTTGCATATCTTCTTTTGAAATTTCAGCATAGTCTAGACGAGCCCTGAGAAAAAAATGTAACATGAGACAGACTGAACAAACAAGGAAAGAAAGATGTTGTTTAAAGCTTGTGTTTAAAGCATAAGATGGAGGCAGAATTTGGAAGAGAGATTCCAGGTCTCTCACTACAGACTTCTTTTGTGATCCTCAACAAGTCAATTGCATCCCATTGGCTGTTTGTTGTCAGTACACCCTATTTCAGAAAGGTGAATGAAACTGAATTCATTGTTGAAAAAAATACATTAAGCTTTTTGGATTCAGAGATAAGGCCAGAATGGACCATTACGATCAGTTAGAGGGACTTTCTTGAAAGACTATTTTAAGTGTGATATATTAGATTTACAAAATGAACACAACACATCCACCATAACAACCACTGTAGTGAATTTTTAACAAATTTCATTGAAACTTCATTGTTGGTTATTGGAATTATGCACTTGTCTGGAATACTTCAGTTTAGATAAATTAGAGGGATTTTTTTGAGGCTCCCTCTGGAGCAGTATAATAAATGCAATTTCCTGCCTTTAACTGTAATAAAACCCCTTTAATACAGAAAGCTAAGGTATATAGGGTAAACTATCACTCACTTGGTCAAAAGCTTGTCCTAGTTGTTCTTCTAGTACTTCATTCTGTTCTGTCAGGGCATGGTTCCTCTTCAGAAGGGCTTGTCCAATCCGTGCTGCTAGCTCCAGGTCCCGTTCCCGCTACTCACAAACAGCAGGAGCAAAAAATCAGAGTAAAAAAAATTATTTTTTCATCAGAGTACATTTAAATTCAACTTCAATTTAAAGTCAGCTTAATTTAAGATGTTTCTGCTTCACTCATGAAAACCAAAAAATAATAGGACATGCCGCCAACTCATTTTAAACTGCACTGACTGTGCTAGTGCGGTGTTTCTCAAACTTTAACCATTTGGGATCTAGAATAATACATACTGATTTCTTGACAGGACTCATCCATTCCCATAGTCCTTTGCAACATCAAAAACCTGGGGTCACAGTAAAACCATTTTTGGGGGATTATTAGAATTTTTTATTGTAGTCCTGTGTAGTTTGGTGTGAGGACTTCACAGGTTCTACTGAGGCATCATTTTAAAGAGCTGTAAATACTAGCTCCACAAGTTCCCTTGGAGTAGAGCATAGTTCTGGGACAGGGAGAGGGACGAAAGGGACAGAGGATAGAGAGCAAGTTGCTACCTTCCTCTTCCTCCTGGGCTTCCACTAGGTTTGCAGGATTTTGCTAAGTTATTTTGTTTCTCAGCTGATGCAGGTCACTGTGCACGCATGCCCGATGTCCCACTGTTTAAGAGTCCCGTGCTACTAGGTCTAAAGACTGAAAGGCAAGAGACATTTCCTTTTCTCCTAAGTGACAACTGATGCTCATTCACCTGTCTGAATAGTTTCTCCAGTCAGTTCCTTGTAAATGTTGAAGGAAAATTTGTATGCAAATGTATTCTTAGCATATTACACATTAATGCAACAATAAGCGGAGATGACTATACCTCAGCTAACAAATGTGTGACCATGTCAACGTCATTATAGGTTTTTGTCATCTGCTCCACTCTCTCTGTGCCGAGAACTGAAAAGCAAACCCAGAAACACTCAATGCAACAGATTATATAGAAGAATACAAGCAACGATAGATGTAAAACTTGCATTGATTATTTGTTTATGCCATACGAGAATCTTTGAGAGAAAACCCATTTAAAGCAGCACCTATGAAGCTTGATCCAGGAAGGTGCAATTCCCAGTTAAGTCAGTTGGAGTTGAGAGAGAACATCTCAGAATGTGGTCTTTATTGAGATAAGTGGAGGGGGAAAAAAACAAAAACACATTTTTTTTGGATGAAGCTAAATTATTGAGTGATCTGATCCACACTGCAGTTGATTGTGAGAGGGGCAGTCTTGCACACCCAAGTATCTGAGGAGGTCTGCGGGCTTTACCCTTGAAATGAAATCAAGGTGACTGTTTGGTAGTTATGAACAGAAAGCCAGAAAAACCTAAGTGTACTAAGATCGCAGGGAGCAATTCAAGCACATTCTGTTGTACATGTATTTACAAGATCGAGCCCTAAGGTTATATGATAAGCAGAAAACCTGCACCTCCAGTCAGCCTACTAGCACAAGCTCCTTAGGAGAACCACATCTGATTTGGAAAGCTAACGAGCTTTGAGATTCTGTTGAAAACTATTATAAATAAGTATTACAGGCAGTCCCTGGGTTACGTACAAGATAGGGACTGTAGGTTTATTCTTAAGTTGAATTTGTATGTAAGTCGGAACTGGTACATATTGTACCCCACGTGTCCCCGATTCAGCCGCTGCTGAAACTGACCAGCGGCTGACTACAGGAAGCCCAAGGCAGAGCTGCTCTGCCTCGGGCTTCCTGGAATCAGCCGCTGATCAGTT